GCTGTTCTGATAAATGTTGCAAAAACTGCCAAATCAAGAGCCTGATGACGCTGTGTTGGAGGGTCTGCAGACGTGTGTTGCATTGCCACTTCCTTCCTCCTTTGTAAGAATGATCATAGTTTCAGATTTTTCTGTGAACGTTTATCTGATAAGAAAACACTTGTGGCGTGCTTTGAGAATTCGGGGGTGGTGGGTGCAGACACGGTGATGTTGTGCTCAAAGACTGGGGGGATTTTTTCAAAATTGTTAATGTGGTTTTGATTCTTTTCTTAAGGAACCTGTTGGCTTCAATGCCCTGCTTATTTAACAGTAATTAATAACTATAGATAAATGTGTGGCCTATACACAGGCTACACATTTTTAAAATACAGTTACCCAGGAAACCAGAGCTTAATTGTATAATTGAGTCTACTAAGTATCAGCTAATTGGAAGGTTTCTGTTCGATCCTTGGACAAGATAATAACCCCAAGTAGTTTTCCGATGCATCCAGTGTTAGATTTAGGTGCAGAAAAACATGCCTGTGTGAATAGTTGTGAATGAGGTGAGTTCAGTTAGACTAGACAAGTGCTGTATAAGAAGAAGCAGTCCTAACTACACAGCTGCCCGTTCACATGCTGGTAGTTATAGTTTTGCTGTCATATAACAAGTATATTATCTGCAATGCTGCCTGCTAACATTCAGCACTTATGCATTTGATATTAGCAGGGAATCAGCAACAAATGATTAATAATTACACCAGCAACACTGCCGTGATTGCTCTCTGTGAATGTCCTAAGTCTACAAAAAGGAGAAAATTGGGTAACCTGTATCTCAGTATGAGATAAAAGTACTGTTATTCTTTGTGAGATTACTCTGCAGGCGAAGTTTGGACAAGTCATCACTGCTGGAGATCTTAGTGTTATAGAGATCACATTGATTTCTACTGGTAACGCTGTAGGTCGGAGATGTGTCTGCATCTGTAATGAGATCTGCAACACACATCATCCCTGCAACTTCTAATCTGACCCATAAACACGCTGTCGTTTAGCCTGTGGAGAAGATTTCTTTGTGATGTTCTTACGGGTACAGGGACAAACCAATAGCATTCATGCATGCACAAGATTGCAATGTGGTTCATTTTTAGAGTTGTGCAATCACCATTCTTATGGTGGCAAATTAACATACATCAGGCAGCTGTAGGCACACAATCAAATGCTGTACAAGTCACCAAGTCATCTCCACGTCCACTTCCATCAGTCACTGGAGACAAGAAGAAAAAAAGTTCCCGGCTGCTCAAAGACAAATAGCAGCTAAGTGAAAGTAAACGTTATTGCCATGTACACAGTGTACACTCAGTGCAAATAACAAAACATGCTCAGATGCCAAAATTGACAAATATGAATGCAAAATAAATATATGTAATCCATAAAGCAACTGGAAAATATAAAATATGCAAAACATTTATGCAACATATAAATTACATTAGAAAAAGTGCAACAAAGAAGGTGCAGCTGATTAAGCTGACTGTAATGCCTTGACTTTAGAGCTATGACCACGACAGGTGTCAGGTGCATTCTTCAAGGTCAGTATAAGACTGCCAGTCTGTCCTTTGGATAAAGTATCTGTTCATTAGTGAGTGTTTCTATCAGTCGGTTATTGGAGGGGTGTGGCAGTAAGGAGGATTCTGGTAGGCAGCGTGGTGTTGGGATAAAAGCTGTTGCATAGCCGCTTGTTAACTTTAGCCTCCTCAGGAAGTGTAGTTTCTGCAGCAATTGTTTTTGTTGAGGAGATGGTGTTGTTTGTGTGAGGCGTCTTCAGTTATATGGACACAGACGAACTTGATCCTCCAACAATCTCAGTTTATGATGAGTGGGTCAGGTCTTCCTGAAATCCAACATTAGCTCTTTAGTTGTGTTGACGTTGAGAGATTGTTGTCTGTGCACCAGTTTGACAGCTACTGGCTCATCGGTATCTGCGGACTCATCGTTGTTGCTTATCAGTGCTAACGCAGTCGTGTTAGCAACAAACATGATAATGTGGTTGGTGTTATGTGCAGTTGTGAGTCAGCTGAGGAATGGGTACACAGCTCAGTGTGATGATGTTAGAGGTGTTGCAACTCGTCTGTACTGCCTTTTTTGTGAATGGCAGTCAATGTGACAGAATCATGGCGTTCTGTGTGTTGATCACATAAATAACTTGTGTACTTTACAAGCCAAAGCTGATATTTTGGTGTGTCCGTGCAAGCTTAATTCTGTCAGAGCCACCGTAGTCAGAGGTGATTATTAGAGAGCTGTAAAACCCACTATTCTATGTCCACAGTGGGAAAGCAAAACGGTGAAGTAGTGAGCACAGAACAGAGCAGGCATCATGAAAGGAGGAGCCACGTTTGAGGTGGGTTGCAAAGTGGCTTACGGTTATAGTCTGCGCTTTTGGTTATTATTATGCAAACTGTGTTGTCATCATAGTTTACACAACTTGAGGCAAGCTTGACTTGCTGCTCTCTTCTCCTGTAAAAGATTTAAAAAGCTTGCTGAAAAGTTCTCTCTAACTATTGCAGCTCTCTTGCTCCACTTCTGCAGTGAGTCATCATAGAAACACCTGTAGGATCCAACCTGTTCAGTCTCAACAGCTTAGCAGTTCGCAACCAACCAAAATGATAACAAAACACACCGTCCGCCAGCACTCACAGTATCACTTTTGACACTCTCTACATGCATGAGGGCAATAGCAGTGAGCACAGACTGGCTGGAATCCAGCTCAACTGGCATAAACTATACAATTTATCAATTACACGTGTTTTATGGTCGCATGTCTCTGAGAGCTGCCTACTCTCAGGAAGGGATGTGCAGTGCATCTAAGAAGATACACACTAAAGTGTGTTACACAGATACCACACATGCACAGAGATGCTCATTATTAAGGGCAGGGATAGCTCAGTAGGTAGAGTGGTGGCCCCATGATCGGAAGGTCGGGGGTTTGATTCCCCTGAACAGCTACCCTGGGGTACCCCTGAGCAAGGTACCGTCCCTACACACTGCTCCCCGTGCGCCCAATGGCTGCCCACTGCTTCACTGAGTGAATGGGTTAAATGCAGAGAGGAATTTCCCCACGGGGATCAATAAAGTACTCTTTCTTACTTACTTAGGGTTAGGGGTTAGGGTTACTTTCTTATTAAAGGCCCAAAGGAAAACCTCTTTGCAATCAGTGTCTGTGATTTTAGGCAGTAATAATATTGTGTCTATCCTCAGTTCACTTTGTTTCACCATGACATCATTTCACCAATGAGACAGTTTTTTGTTATGTGAAAGTCCTGAATTGAAACAGCTTCACATCCATCTCTCTGTTCTAACGGACAGAAGCTGAGCCTAAATATCTTGTTTCTCTGTGAGCGCTTCCTCATCGGTGGTCAGGCTGTGGCTGGCACCTCGCCAACGCTTGACTTATTTTCTGTGTTTGAGTTGGACTGACTATACTTGGATGTTTATAGAGTTACTCGGTAACACACAATCTGGCCTTCACTGTTATAATTTGAGCACTTTAGTTTTTGGGTTTTGGTTGTTAGTACACATGATAGCTGATAAGCATGGGACGTAAGGACAGTATTTATCAGCTGATATTTACTTGAAAGTTCAGTGAAAATGATTACAGCATTTTTTTAATGCTCAGTTACTTAGACTGACCTGTCGGGCTCATCTGTTGCAGGCGCAGGGCTGAGCGGGCGTCAGATGCACCGTACGCAGGGCGTGTTCAACCACACGGAGGACTACGTGCTGCTGCCCGACGAGCGCACCATCAGCCTCTGCTGCTGGGACTCCCGCACAGCCGAGAGGAAAAACCTGCTGTCTCTGGGTCACAATAACATTGTCCGCTGCATCGTCCACTCACCAACCAACCCGGGCTTCATGACCTGCAGCGATGACTTCAGGGCCCGTTTCTGGTACCGCCGCACAACCACAGACTGAGCCACAAGAGGATGTCTGACTCTTGTGAAGCCTTCCCTGACCTCAGCAAACACTCGCAGTCTTCTTCAATCATTTTCAGTTCAATGGAAAGAGGACAGTGGAATCAGAGAGACTTAGGAGGAAAAATAAGTCATGTGGTTTTCTTTTTTATGACCTATTAAAGAGTGTAGAAACACTCTTCTCACATTTCTTAGATATCATTCTGCAGATTTGATTAGTTTTCCACTTTTATATTTTGTGTGTGTCCTTATGTTGTAATTCTGATTTTTAATAAACAATCCAAAGGAAAAATGTCTGTTCTATGAATTTGATGGTGTAAAGTGCCCCTCAGAGCTTATAACACAGTCTCAGTGATATCCTGTCGATATTTTAAGAACACAGTTGTGAGCAGCAACCTGTCAGGAGCACCAAATGGACACAACACGCAAACAGCCAGAGCCATTTCGCACTTTCTGTCACAGTTAAGCTAAAGAGATCCCTCTAAACGTTCTTGGTCTTATCTTCAAAAACAGGAAAGAGGGAAAAAAGAAGCAAACTTCTCAAAGCTCCTGGTTTCCCTTCTCTAGTGTGGCCTTTGCCCTCTGCCTGGAAGGTCAGGCTGCCCCATCGCCCCTCTGCATTCCCCAGCTCTCCCCGACCTCGCCGTATGTCATTCAGACAACAATAAGGAAAGTCCGAAGAATTTGTGCTTTCAACAGTCACTACCCCCGTTTTCTTGCCAAACCAATAAGTCACAAATATAGAGAAATGTTCCATATTTAAACATAAAGAGGAAACGCAATAAAAGGCAATAAGGAAAATTCCCTCAGTTAGTTGGAAGAGCAGACTAGTGGTGAGCGGGGTACTTCTGCTTTACAAGAAAAATTGAGGGTAAAGGAAGTGCAGAGTGCCATGAAGATGGGTTAAAACATAAAGAAAAGCAGTGGGTGGGGCACAAGTTTGTGTGAGTGTGTGCAGGAGTGTCTCTCTGACCAATGGGGCTGCGGGAAAGCAGCTGAGTTTCTCCGCCCTGTGTAAAACAGCCGGGCTCGCCGTGACAGCTCAGACAATATGCTTGTGAGGCACGGAGGAAGAGGACAGCACGCAGACTTTCCACACACACGCGCTTCACTGAAACTGCGACCCTCGGCAGACGGATTTATTTCTCTGTGTGGATGCAGCTCCTTCCTTAACGATCATGGTGAGTGCTGCAGCTGCTTCTGCGCTTCAACAGTTACTCAGCTTTTACTTTGTAATGCAGCATCCACCCTGTTGTGTCCTGCCGTCAGAGGAATGTGCCTGTAGACCACCTGCTCGGCTTTCGCTTTAAGCCGCGGTGTCGGCTACCGCCTATTTCTACACACACCCCTGTGACCTGCTCTACTGTAGGCTGTAACCTGAGTCCATCCTGACACAGAGCTGTGAGGGAAACTCTAAGAGCCTCATTAACACTAAAGCCTTTAGAAGTTGCTCAGCCGCAGATAACTGAGGACGTGAAGCTGGATGTTTTCAGAATGATAAAACCAACAGACACAAGCTCTTAATATTCAAACTATCATCTGATCACTGAAACTTTACGCACTGTGGAAAATCAACTACTACTACAATCGTGGCTTGATTGCATTGCAACCTCATCAACTACATGCTACAAAAATAGTTACTGCAGCAACTAATGCAGTGGTTTCTAGATATGTTTGTGGTTTTCAAGCCCAAACACTATGGTTGTTTCGAATAGGGCTGCCGCAGCTTCAGAACTTAACGATTATCCTCATTTTAAAGAAACTCCCTATAATATTATCCTAATATCGATAGTAAATTACAGAAAATAAGTGTTAGTCAAGTTTTTGATTTGTTTGTTATCTTTTTTGGAAACTGATTAAACTCCAAATACAAGTGAATGATGAGTCAGTAACCAGAGCTGTCATACGCACAAAAAGAACAATTACACAATCATTTATTATTGTAACAGCTCAGGTTGAGCAATTTGGAGGCAAAGTTAGAGGAAAGGCTGAGATGGGTGAAGATGGAGCTGTCAGGCAGGAGGAAGACCACAGAGGTTCACAATGTAGTGAAGGAGGGGATGCTGGGATAGGGTGAGATGGACGCGGACGATCTCCTGAGAGGATCACATGTGCATTATGACACAGTGTCCATTATCATTTTATTGGAGCCTTTATTTTGTGTGCCTTTATTGTGAAAGGCAGTCACTGTGACATTTGGGAATATGCTGAAAAAGTTCAAGTCTACAGAAATTGGTGGAGGGCTTATGCACACTTTAATACTGTAATACCTTTTCTGACACACACCCGTTTTCACACCTTGGCTCATGTGATTGGGTAGAGGATGAATAGGGGGTCAATGACCCTCTGGAGCTCTCCACCAATCGCTCTTAGAACTGAAGAAGCTTCTTGAATGAGAGGTGAAACGTCTTCAAGGAAACTTAAAGAAGTCCAGACGCTTTTCAAGCTCCTTAGACTACGATGAGCTTCACAGTCATTAATTTAGGCCACACCAGTTGGGTAATGAATCCTACCATTTCCCACCGTATCACGGTTGCCATCGTGTATTTTCACCATTCTGCCTCCAGAAACAAGTGTTTGTTGAAGCACTCTGAGAGTCGCGGATCAGGGGAGCACTGCGGCCAACGGCAGATGTGGAAAGCATTAAAGTGAGCTGAGAATTCTGCTCCAGTCGCTGCGTTGGACAGTTCTCAGGCCAGTCAGTGTCGGCTGGTAGAAAAAGTTTAAAAACCTCTATATGATGAATGAAAGAGCAGAGCACAATCTTCCCAAACCCTATCTGGAGTTACCAGTGGTGGGAAAGGATATGCATCATTCTGACAATCCCCAAGCGAAGCAACCAGTTTGACTGAGCTCATCTTATTCATTTTCCCTTTACAAATACTGTCTGGCTTGGCTGATGACTAACTCTGTTTAAGCAATCGAACTTCCCTTACATGAAGGTTGTTTTATACCCGATCCATGCCTTTATCGGGCTGCAGAAAGCTATTTTGAGCCGCCTAGTGTGTTGCTTAGTGTCTGTTTTTATCATCTGAGAGCAGTAGTCAGTGCACAGTCACAGAGGTTTACACAGCAGGAGGCTGGTGTGGAGAAGTGGCAACAACATCACCCACAAAAGGAAGCTGATCTAAGTTTCTTGAGCTAATTTAATCCCTGTGATCTTCAGTCATGCGTTTAACTCCTGAGGACTTTTGAGGAAATCATTAATAAAGTAGGTAACTGGATCCTCCTCAAACAAGCTACAGTACTTACTAATTACTACAGTAATGATAAATGAGTGGATCCAGCTCAGTTAGTGGGAGGTTTATCTGAAAACCATAGCTAACAGATCAAGTTGTTCAAGTTTGTAATAGCAAAAAGGTAATTGGGAAACAAAAAACCAAAAAACGAACCCATCAGCTACAAACACGAGGAGAATGCTCATGCTCGCTCATTCCTTACATGGCTTTTTTTTCACATGTGAGGGAATTTTATTATGTCTTCCAGCTTATTGCTTTGGTTTCTACTCCCATCAGTGAGGAGCAATAAATAAAAGCTTCACTGAGCCCACAGTGTGTTACTGTATGAGCTAAAGAGTTAGATGTGTTTATGAAGTCGTTTGAGGCCAAATTAAGTTTCTCTCACAGCTTGCTGAGCTCCCCCAAGTGACCAAAAACAGCTTATGCCACTACTAAAGAGATATTATAGAGGCCAATGCAACAGCCCTACCTAGATGCACGTACTGTAAATTGCAATGTTTAAAAATAATTTTAAAATTTCCGAAATGAAGTGAAAAACAAAAGAATGTGAAGAAAAAGACGCTACAGCAGACGCTCGGATATCAGATGTGTTAGTGTTGGGCTGTACTTTCATGTAATGGAAATTTATACCACAAGAGCGTAACTGAAGCATCCTAAGTCGGACAACAAATAGTTGTTTATATAGAGCCTGACTTCAAGGCCAATACCAATATTTGGTGATTTCAATATTCAGACATACTGGCCTACGTTTCATTTATCTTTAAGACACAGA